GTAGGGTTTCTCATTTCAATTTAACTGCTAGCTAATGCTGTTGCTATGCTGGAACCCCACAATGCAGGATGAAACAGGTGTGTATAAGAATCTCTTGCAGGAAGTCTCGCAGAGAGTGGGGGGTTGCATGCCTTCTTATACGACTTTCAGATCTGGTCAAGTCCACCTTCCCATTTTCACTTGCACGGTGGAGTTGGTTGGTGTTATATTTACTGGCGATCCAGCCAAGAGCAAGAAGCAAGCAGAGAAGAATGCAGCCATGGTGGCTTGGTTATCCTTAAAATCATGTACATTAACCCTTTTTCTTTGACATAATCTGGACGTGCAAGCTGTCCTTATATTCATATTAAGTAGAATAGTATATGTTTTGTGATTTTTGTTTTCTCCTCTAGGCATGAATTTAACTACCACATGAATTCTCATGCACTGTGCGTCAGAGAAATACTACGTCCTAACATTCTTTAAATGTTTTTAACGCAAGTGAAAAGCCAAAAAGAAATGGGAATCAGATATTAATAGCCCAAAAAAGAGGGAAGAAAAGATAAACGTAGGTCGTACTAGAGGATTTACATGATAAGGAAGGCTCTTTTGAGTATGTAGAGCTTGATATCCTTTGTGCCTTTTCTTTTCTTCTCCAGTGACACAGCAGTCTGAGACCTTCTCCGAAAAGACCCACATGGACGAGCAGGAGCACGTGATGGTTGCACGTGCCCTTCAAGAGTACCTTATAAAGGCCAAGCTTTCAAGATTCTCTTTCCCTATCAAATTCCCAGCCATAAGCCCAAGGCCATCGAGCGTGCACCATTCCTCCCCCACAACCTCAAAAATACTTCCCTTGATCTGCCCCAAGACAGCCAGCCGTAGCAGCAGGCCCACTTTGACAGCAACAAGCAACAACAACCAATCACTCCAAAAGGTTCCGAAATTCCCTGCAGCAAGTGCACCACCCTACATCCCTGTCAGGCACTGTATCCCACACAGCAGAGTTGCCCCACTTGTAAATGTACGAAGCATGGTCCCTGTTTTCTCGGCCCCACCATTAGTGATGAGGCCCCCAGCCATTGGAATTGCGCAACCTGTCTCCGTTAGACATGCTGTCCCTGTATATGCTGCTGCTCCAGTTTGCAAGGAGCTACCCATGGTGCAGCCGGTTGTTAGAGCCAACGGTCAACAGGTCTCAAGGTTGCCGACAGCTAAGGTGGAGGAGCTTCCATTTGCTGGAGCTCCCCCAGGTACACCCATTTTCCAAGCTTCTCTTTTTTTGATGGAATCATGGAAAATTGCCGATATTTCCTTGGGGTCGAGGGATTTGGGTGGAGTGAGTAGAAATTTTTATGCAATTGCAGGGGACATGGTTTGCTAGAGAAATTGGATCAATTGATTTCAAACCCCTCCTCTATTCACTGCAGATTTTTCACACTGGCCACTTACACATTTGTCTTATATTCATTGCATAACTGTTGATAGAGTAATTTAAAACTTAATGGATTTCAAATAATCTCAGTTCAAACAAAACTTTGAGGCATAATTAGAAAAGAATTTGGTTATTTTTCAAAATTACAAACATACCCCAATGGTAGATGTTTCCATGTTTGATGAGTTGCACCTAGTGAAGGGATAATTTGTATAGCAAGTACAAACCTTGGTGGGGTTTTTGCTACTTCAATATATGATTGGATCACTTCTAGTGAAGGATATTCCTTTATCCGTTGGGTTGGAGTTACGGTGCTCCTCTCGTTTTAAGTTTTTGCAAATTTTGCAGTGCCGATTTCAGAAGTTCCAGCACGTCAAGTTGGGGTACCTTCATCTGAAGTTTTCACTGTTCAAGTCGAGCGAGTTGCTAAGTTTAGTGGTCCGCCAGGCAGCCCGAGAGCAGCCGGCGACAAGAATAGGATTGCAGTGCATGACAAGCTGCAGGAGTCTAGGGAGATTGAAGATTTGAAAAATCTCAAGATATGAAAGGGGGTCTTTGGATTGCATGATATTACAGTTTATCTTCTATCATTATGACTATTGTATGTTTTTCCCTTATTCTGTTAATCAAATTATGTTCCTTGTAGTGGAGATTTACATGTCTTCGAAAAGTTGGAACAGTTTCTGTGCAGTTCTGTCCATCCATCAGTTTCTTTTGCCTTTGAACGACGTAAAGAAAGTTAGCTGCTCAAAAACTCATTGCAGAGTATATACACATATCAGTATGGATTGGCATCATGTTTACCTTTCCAGTTAGTTAATGGTAATGGACTCTTTGGCTACTGAATTGCATCACATGAGATGATGTTTTTACAGTGGCCACCGGGTGCGAGGGCTTTTAGGTGAAGACAATTTACACTTTTTGTTTGCTTCGTGATGTTTTTCTGTAGAGGCAGCTGTATTTTTATTCCTCAGGTGAAGCAATGTCCTGATTCTTGGAAAGTACAGTTCTCTTGTGCAAATATTATGCGGCACTTTTGATTGAAATATTAAATATTATAAGCACATCCTATACATATCAGTTCTAATAATCACCACTCTTCTATTTTTTTATGTCAAATCACTTTTAATTATTTTATTTTTAATATTATTTTAATACAAATTTAAAATCTCACTCAAGTTTAACTCAACCAACTCTTTTTACAAAACTATGGTTAACTAAAAAAATCAATCAAAACTAAAATATGCAATAAAAAAATTATATTCAAACACACCATAAGGTTCGTAAAATGATATAGAGCTAAACAAATAAGGCATTTTTATTTTATATTTCTCATCTCCCGCACCATTAGCCCGTCGTCCCCAGATCTACCTGCCGGCCAAGCCTTGTCGGTTGTACCCATGCGTGTGCCACATACGCCACCACATAATCTTTTGGTAGTCCACGTGCTGACCCCAAAAATTTATCCGGCGAGATTGTCGATTAGAAATCATATGAGCTTTCAACTAGTGTTCCTAGGGGTGGGTGTTGTCTGGGACAGTTCGAGATTTGACCTCTCCCAATACCTGTCCAGTTTTTTTGAACCGGTCAGAGAACGGTCCGGGATGACATCGTCCCAAATGGATCGATATCAATCAGGACCGGGACAAAACGAATTACAAAAATATAAACTCAAAAAAAATACTTAATCCAATAACGCAAAGCATCAACATACATTAAAAGTTTAAAACAAACATACGCATACTGTCATTCACTTAAAGTGCACTAAAACAACATACTCCAAAGTCAGTAGTTGACTAGGTCACTTACTACAAAGACATTCTGCTTAATTAGACCAAGAATTAAACCAAAGACATACTATATGATTCACTTAAACAATAAACATTGTCTTTAAAACAAAAGAGTGTTGATTATCTGATACTTTGATTCCGTTACAATTATTGCAAACATTAAACATACTCCGTAATTCAAACTGAAAAGTGAAAACACCCTAATTCCATTCATTATAACTAACATCTTCAAAACCATCATCTTCATCTTCTAAGCTTTCCACATCGACCAACTTATCCCCAACAATCATTTTCGCATTATACAACTCTACAAAATGGCAAACATCCAAACAAATTAAATTATTACTTTATAATTTATAAGAGAAATAATCAAAGTCTGAAACTGAAATAAATTGTAAGAGCAAGGATCAAATTCTGAAACTGAAAGAATGAAACTGAAAATCTAAACAGTACCTGTCTCAATATTCTCATAGAATTCTAACTCTTGAGCTGAAGGTTCATTCTCAAAGTCCATGACTATGTCATCTCCTCTAAGCCAGTTTTGCATGCAAATCAAGGGAAAATCAAGGCCTCCATAGATTTAGAGGTTAATGAACTTCTAAATGAATCAATGACTCTCCCTCATGTGCTAAAAGCACTCCAGAAGCCACTGTTGATACTTGAATAGCAAAAACATCTTTGGCAAGTGAAGAGAGAACTGAATACTGGAGGCTGCATTTTTCCACCATTGCAATATATCAAAGGATTTGTATCTCTGTATCAACTCTTCAGCAGCAAGGTCGTCACCTTTTTTTTTTTATCCTTAATGGCTAACAAAGGATCTTTCATAAATGCATCAACCTCATGCTCTAGTGTTGCCTCATCAGTTTCCGTGACATGTTTTGTCCAATCAATAACATACTTCAAGTTGTTGGTGGCTATATTAACCCTACTCCCAACATTTTAATCATTTTCCTTCCTTTTTTTGAATCTTCATGTTGTTGTTGTTGATGCTACTCATCGGTTCTACACTTCTTTTCTTCAAACTTTTATCATTTTTCTCACTATACTCTTCAAACAATTCAAACATTAGTGCTTTGATCTATCTTTCCTTCTTCTCAACCTTATAATCACTCCACATCAACTCAACAGACAATAAGTTAGTGACATGCTTCTTCTTAGACCTTTGATCTATCACAATTCCCACGAAATTAAAAGGTTCAGATCCTTCAGTTGGCCAAAATATTTGTTATACTTGGTTTTCATGAGTGGTGTCAACCATTAATTTATGAATTGCAGTAAGGGGACGCATATTGATTTGTTGTTCATAGCTTCTTCAATGTTAACAATATCATGGAAGATAGTGTGAATGGTTGGGTGATTAGAGGCACTTACCGAAGTGTGACATCATAAAAAATATTGAAGAAAGCTTATAAAATGTTTACATGCATCCCAGTCTGAATCCCTTGGTGGCCCATTTTTTTTTTTTTGTCCTTTTCATGAACAATTACATTTCCATCCTCATCAATCTCATCATCAGACTCATTAAAGTATGCAAGATATGGGTTGTCCACCTCTTGTTCCGTTCTTTTGAATGCTCTTTGAGTTTCAAGGCAGAATCCAACATCAAATATGTTGAATTCCATCTTGTTGGCACATCTATGCACATCAATCCCTTATAATCAGTTTTTTCCTTAACCACAACCTTCTTAAAAAGGGTCAACCTAGATGGTGAGCTTCTTACAAACTTCACAACATTTCTAATTGCTAAAATGGTAGAGTTCAGCTTTTTAAGACCACTGTCAACAACTAAGTTTGTAATGTGTGCCATACATCCATGTGCATATGTTTCTCCTCCAAAATCAAAAGTGAATCCATACAATCATTTAGCATTTCAACCAACCTCTAAAGCCAACTTATTGGCAGAAGCATTGTCCACTGTAACAGTCAAAACTTTATCAATTTTCTAATCAACTAGACATTGTTCAATTAAGTTGGCTATAGTAACACAGAAATTCAACACCCTTTTATGAATTTTCCATTTTGAATCAACAAAATGGGCAATTAAAACCATATAGTTGTTGTTTTGGACTTTGGTCCAAGTATAAGTGGTTAAACAAACTCTTTGGGAAACATGATCTTTTTTTTTAGTTGTTTTTTATTAGCTTTATACATATCCAAAAAAGCTCTTACCAGAGTTCTCCTAGATGGGTCATTAAATAATGACATTCATGTGGCACAAAACTTCTTAAACCCCTTTTTTTCCACAAAAAATAAATGATAATTTATCAAGAACTACCATTTCCACACAAGCCTCCATTGTCTGTTTTTTTTTTATTTTTTTTTTTTATTTTTATCAAAACCTCTACAAGCAAGTTGGTTATAATCACCATTATCCCATGTCATAACTTTTTGCTTGCTTAAATCAGTATTGACATACAATTTGCATTTCTTAGGTATATGTTTGTTAGGTCCCACAGTCCTATTTGGTCCACTCTCTGCAGCAAAATCAACCCGTCCCTTTGGACATATTTGCATTTAGCCCTCTCTTTATATTCAAAGACATCCTCAATCAACCCTGACTCTAGATTCTTAAATTTCCTAACATTTCTAACCCAATAAGTTGTTAAAATGTTCCCAAATTGAGGACCTATAAACCCTAGCCGTCATACCTGGTGGAAGCTCATTGAGAATATTTGGCATAGTTTGTATGTTTACGGGCTACACCACCACATGCATGGGATTTGAAGCACTGCTTGGTGTTGGTGGAGTTTTCAATGTCTGTGAGTGCCTCCAAGCTGCATGAATTTCCATGGTTTTTGGGAATTAGGGTTCTTGATTTTGTGAATTGGGATTTTAGCACAAAACAATAGACTTTAATTTAGGGTTTTTGTTCTCAATTTGAGAACTGAAATTGAAAAATGGTGATGGGGATTTGCCAATTTGATTTGAGAATTTGGTTGAGACTTGAGAATGAGAAATAGAGACAGAGAATGTGAAATTCAGAAATTGTGAAACTGAAAAGTCAACTTTACAGTTCACTCATAATCTTTTATCTCTCCTGCGAGTACTATTTGGGCCAAACAAATACAATCAATATAGGTAACCATTGCCTAGTTTTTTAATTTTTTTGGGCCAAGCAAAGGATTGGAATTTTATATATTACAAAAAACAAATACAAAGGCAGAAAAGCTGAATAGCTTGAACTAGTTAAATGAAGTTTAATAATTATTTACTATATTACGAATATTAATATAATAATAGTATATTATATATATATTTTGTGCAAACTAATTAAAATATATTTTGTGCAAACTAATTAAGCGGGACAAATTGGACTGTTCGTGACAAAAATTTTCAAACCGATACCGACATTGTTTAAAAGGGTCTAAGACTGGGAACAGGACGAAAATAAAAGAAACATTTTGGAACCTTATTTTTTGGAAGGGGACCATATCGGTCCATTTTGCCACCGGAAAATTTGGTTTTTTTGCCCACCTCTAAGTGTTACTGGTTTTTTGTTGTGGACGATTTTGGTTATCTGTTTGGCATTTTCCAAATTCAACACTAGTTTTGGACTAGGGTTCCTTTTGCACTCTTCTACGTTGCTCGTTTAGAAGCATAATTCATTACATTGTGGCTCGTCGCTGCCCGCGACACATTGCTACTCATGTCCGTCCTCCCATCCCGGAGGAACATCATCCTTCATTGCTCGTATTCATATCTCTATGAATATATATATCCCCGACGCTCATTCGACAACCAATAAACTTGGT